GCCAGAATCAGGTGCAAGAACCAGGTGCTAGAACAAGGTGCTAGAACCGCCATAACCTTGTGCTAGAATCAGGTGCCAGAATCAGGTGCTAGAACCAGGTGCCAGAATCAGGTGCCAGAATCAGGTGTAAGAACCAGGTGCTAGAACCAGGTGCCAGAATCAGGTGCCAGAATCAGGTGCCAGAATCAGGTGCAAGAACCAGGTGCTAGAACAAGGTGCTAGAAACATGTACCAGATCTGACGGACTGGGACAGTCCGTAGGGCCAGGTCTGGATCCTGGACGCGACGCAAAGAGGAGAAGCAGAGACGGCTCTGCGCCAGCGGCGTGACACAGCAGAGATCAAGGGTAATTATTTCTATGGGTATGATCCTGTCCGTCTAGACTGAGGCATCTATAGAGTATAGATAGGATCAAATAGGTCAAGCCTGATCACAAAGGCTTCCTCGCCGTGACAAATGATCTAGAGAGTGAAAGGTAGTCAGCTGTTTCCTGGGCAAGCTACAATTTTATCTCGAGGAACCTACACTTTGCCATATACCTCGTTTGCGGTATCGCGCGACTCCTTGTGGACTCTCTTCAGGAGACTCCGGGTATCGTTCTCATCCCAGCCTCCCCTGCCAAAGACTGCCAATGAGTAATTCTCCAAGCCTAATGACATGTCAGTCGAGGAAACTTGAACTTGTTAAGAGCACGAACTATGGGCATACCGTATTCCAGCATCTGAGCGAATTGTGCCCCTTTTCTGACCATCTTTTCGTCATGTCCCACAGCCTGTATGGGAACCAGGTCCGACCAGCCCGCCACCTTTTCGAATCCAACATCAGAAAATATGGCGGGAATCTTTGGTGTCGGGTCAAAGTCGACGCCGGTAGCCTTGGTCATTTCCGAGAACCGCACCTCGAACTCGCGACATGCCGTCATCCCGCTGTGATCCTCCTCCTCAACCGTGGGCGCAACGGGCTCGTCTGCGCTGCTGTCTATGAGGTCAAAGTATCTCGTCCTCACTTCAGCAAACTCGATTTGTCCACCGGGCTTGAGGTGTTCGTACGCTTGCCGGAAAAGCGCCTCCCAGTCCGAAACGCCCCCGCCGACGAGGTTCCTCATGTGCACAAATTCCAAGCTTTCCTTCGCACGAGCCCAGCCATGATTTGCATCTTCGACGTCAAAGGAAACGTTGGCCGGTATAGTGGTGGGTAAGAGCGCGGCGGAGATGTCGATACCCATGATTTTGGCTAGGGGGTACTGCTTGCCCATCTCAATGGCCCAATTGCCGGTCCCGGAACCAATGTCGAGAATATTGAGAGGCTTGTCCTCGGGGAGCTTCGCCGCCGTCAAACCACCTTCGAGACAGAGCTTGAATAGCTGGTGTTGAATTTCTAGTCGAGCTCGCTCGGATTCGTCGTTGGGCATTAGCAGCACACCAGAACCGTGGTATGTGTGTCCATAGGCGCGGATGGGCGGGAGCTCGTCAACAGAGACGGAGCTGAAGTCAGAACCAGCATCCGAGTCGTCTTCGTCGCCGTTGTCAGCGTCTGGCGTTTTGTCTGTTCGAGAAGGCCTCCTCCGTTCTTTTTGGTCTGTCCGGTTTCTTGAGGCACCGGCATTCTCGCCGCAGCGTCCGTTGCCGTCGCCGATGCCGGGGCCGTCAACAGCGTCAACGTCGTCGCCCATTTCGGCGAGCTTTAGAAAAGCTCCGTCAGAGAATTGATTCTAGGATTTCCTCTCAACTCTAGCCGGCGTCAATGTCGTCTCTTTATCTCGTCTTTCCGTTTCCAGAGAAACTTCAATGGTCTGTTGTTCTCTTGGAGCGACTCACTGCACGGTGGTTGTCTTCGCGCGCCAGATTTCCCAAATGGGGACTCAATCGTGGGCCCGGCCGCCTCGGGTGCAATATGGCCACACGTGGGATGACTGATGAAATTTCCTAAAGAAGAACAGGAGGGAACGCAAAAGTTGATGGATGAAAACCCAGGCCGATACCAGCGCAGGGAAGGTGGGTTACGCACAAAGTATCAATACGGATACATCAGGTGGTTTATCCTATCGAGGGTTGACGGATGTCTTTGTACCCACCCCCTTGGCAGCCTATTATTAGTCGATGAAAGGACACTAGGAAACCAAAGACAAGGGGGGGGCCGTTGGCCTCTTGCTTGATTGTTTGTTTGTTTGCTTGAATGGCTGCTATTCGGTTTTAGCCGCTCTTCTCCACAGGCCCGGAAAGCAAGGGTTGGCCAACAGCCGACGCGTCCACGACGAACCGCGACGCTCCACTTCGCCCTGTTGCTGAATCAAGGCCAGCTGTTTCCAAATTCCTCGCTGCACTATTTTCCCTCTATGCTGATTCTCTCTGTTGAAGAGTCTCTTCCTGCTGCATTGCTTTTCTGCCATCACGATTGTTTTCCTCGACTCTGGATTCTCTCTTTCGCATCTTCCTGCTTCGGCACTGATGGTCTTTACCACCATGCCTGGTCCAGTGTACCTACAGTCCCCCCCCCAGCGCTCGACTTCGCTCGTCAAGCAGATCGCGGAGAATAGCTTCGGTCCCGGCACACGAGTCCTACAGGACGAACTATACCCCGTGAAGATCGATAACGTGAAGAGAACCGAGGTACTGGATGAGAAGGGCGACGTCAGGGCTGAAGCGGCGGAGGCACTTAGCCGAGAAAACGAGACCACGGTTGCCAAGATATCTTGGCTGAGCAAGAAAGACGTGCCCAAGGCGTATGGGTCCATGGTCGTGTTCGTGACGAAGGCCAGTGATACGCGTAGACTGATCTCCGAGGGCTTCTTCCACGTCGGAGGAGAGTCCGGCACGACGATGGCATTTGAGCGGCGGCCACGTCCTCAACAGTGCTACAACTGCCAGCAGATTACCAGGCACAAGGCGTACCAGTGCGTGAACTCCCAGGTGTGTGGGCGCTGCGTCAAGGTAGGTCACCATCACAGTGAATGCCGTGAGACGATCGTGACATGCGTGCCCTGTGGCGGACCGCACGAGTCGTTCAGCAAGAACTGTCCGAAGCTGTATCCGCGTTCCCATGAGTAGGAAGGTCCAGATCCTTCAGCTTAACGTAAGGAAACAGGCTGAGGTCCACGAGAGTTTGATGAATGACGAGGCGTTGCGCGACTTCACGGCCATAGCGGTGCAGGAGCCATGGGCGCGGAGGATAGAGGGTAAGGTCATCACTGCTCCGATGGGACATAGCAGGTGGACGAGGTTGGTACCGACGGAGTGGAGGGACGAAGGAAGATGGGGAATCAGGAGTTTGCTGTGGGTGAACAGAGAAGTAGAGGCGGAACAGGTGCCGATAGCGTCCTCGGATATTACTGCGGCCGTTGTACGGCTTCCTGATCGAAGGCTGCTGGTGGCGTCGGTGTACGTGCCGGTGCAGAAGCCGGAGATGCTGCGGCAGGCGTGCGATCTGCTGAAGCAAGCTATCACAAATGTCCGAGGAGAAACAGGCGAAAGAGTGGACGTGGCCCTAGTAGGAGACTTCAACTGCCACGACTACCTGTGGGGAGGCGACGATGTGTCGGAGGGCCGGCAAGGCGAGGCAGACCCGATCATCGATTTGATGAGCGAGTACTCGCTCCGCAGCCTCCTTCCGCGTGGCGCGAAGACGCGGGAGAAGAACGATGCGGCAACGACCATCAACCTATCCCTCGCGTCCGAAGGGCTAGCAAGGACGGTGGTACGATGCGCCCTGCGCGAGACAGACCACGGATCGGACCACCGGGCGATCGAGACGACCTTCGACATTGCCGCGCCTGAGATAGAAAGCCGACCACGGCTCCTCCTCAAGAACGCTCCATGGAAGCGAATCAATGAGAGAGTGGAAGCAAACCTAGAACGAGTGCCAACGGGAGGTACAGTGCAGCAGCAGGCGGATCGACTGATGCCTGTGCTGCGCGAGGCAGTAGAAGCACTGACCCCCAAGGCCAAGCCGTCTCCGTATGCAAAGAGATGGTGGACAGCCGACCTCACCCAGCTACGGCAGATCCACACTCACTGGAGGAACCAGGCGCGGGCGGAGAGAAGGGCAGGCAACACTCAACCCGGACTGGAGCAACGCGCACGCTCGGCAGCCGAGCAATATCATGACGCCATCCGATAACAGAAGAAGAGCCATTGGGAGGACTTTCTGGCCGACGACACAAACATCTGGAAGGCCGCGAAGTATCTCGACGCCAGTAGAGGGGCTTTCTTCGACAAGATACCCCAACTTAAAAGGGCGGACGGCTCCCAAACGGAAGACGCCGCAGAGCAGGCCGAAGAGCTGCTCTCCACATTCTTCCCTCCTCTTCCCAGCACGATCGAGGAGGAGGGCGAGCGGTCACAGAGATCGCCGGTACCCTTCCCCAACTTCACACTGGGAGAAGTAGAGAGACAGCTCTTTGCGGCAAAGTCGTGGAAAGCTCCCGGAGAAGACGGTCTGCCGGTGGCAGTGTGGAAGCACACATGGCCAGTGGTGAAGGGGAGGATGCTTGCACTCTTCCAGGCCTCACTCGACGAAGGGCTGTTACCGAGGCAATGGCGACATGCCAAGATCATCCCGCTGAAGAAGCCAAACAAAAGCGACTACGGCATAGCGAAGGCCTGGCGACCGATCTCGCTTCTGTCAACGCTCGGAAAAGTGCTAGAGTCGGTCGTAGCAGAACGTATCTCGCACGCGATCGAGACGTTTGGCCTCCTCCCTACGAGCCACTTTGGCGCTCGCAAGCAGAGGTCGGCAGAGCAGGCGCTGTTACTGCTGCAGGAGTACATCTACAGAGCGTGGAGAAAGAGAAAGGTGGTCAGTCTGGTCAGCTTTGATGTCAAGGGAGCCTATAATGGTGTGTACAAGGAGAGACTACTCCAAAGACTCAGGGCGCGGGGTATCCCCGAGAAGCTGGTGAGATGGGTGGACGCTTTCTGCTCCCACAGAACGGCAAGCATCCTAGTCAACGGTCACGAGTCCGAGGCTCGTCCGTTACCACAAGCCGGTCTGCCTCAGGGCTTGCCGCCGTCACCCGTGCTGTTACTCTTCTCCAATGCCGACCTCGTACAACACCAGATCGACGAGAACGGGGGCGCGCTGGCCTTCGTCGACGACTACACGGCGTGGGTTACAGGACGATCGCGAGAAGCAAACCGGGAAGGCATCCAGAACATCATTGACAGAGCACTCGAGTGGGAACGACGAAGCGGGGCGACATTTGAGACGGACAAGACGGCCATCATCCACTTCACGCGCAACTGGAGACTGCCGGCAGATTCGACCAGTTTCGTCATGAAAGGTGACACTGTCCGAGCAAAGGACCACGTCAAGGTGCTAGGGGTGACGATGGACACGAAACTTCGTTTCGAAAAACACATCGCAGACGCGACGACAAAAGGGCTGGAGGCCGTGCTGGGACTCAGGCGGCTCAAAGGTCTGTCTCCGGCGGCGGCCAGACAGCTCTTCGTGGCGGCCGTGGCACCAACGATGGACTACGCGTCGAATGTCTGGAGATTTAGATGTCGAGCAGCGCAGATGAGGGTGATCAACCGAGTGCAGAGGATTGGCGCCCAAGCGATCGTGGGAACCTTCAACACAGTGGCCACGGCGGTCGCTGAAGCGGAGGCAAGCATACAATCGGCGTAAGAGAGATACGACAGAAAATCAACGACATTCTGGGTACGGATGCGAAGCCTTCCCAAGACCCATCCGCTTCGACGCATGCGGGTGGCCTTTCGACGGTTTCCATCACCCTTCCAGTTGATGGCGGAGGCCTATCGCGACCAACCTCTTGACAAGCTGGAGACTATCGAAGGGTATTCGATCACTCCATGGGAAGCCCGTATTAATACAGTAATCGACAACGACGCGGTCAAGGCCACCGAAGCAATCCAGTCCGGGTGGGCAGTGAGGATAGCGACAGGGAGCTCGGCAAGAAACGGGGTTGTGGGCTACGGATCGGCCACAATGCTGCCTGCATCACTCAGAGGGGGTGGCGGCGTGATAACGGCCTCGCGCACACTCGATCTGAGAACAGAGCAGAACCCGTATGTAGCAGAGCTGGCGGCGCTGGCAGAAGCGGTGAAGTCTCTCCCGCAGAGGCTCAACTACCGTGCCATCCACGTGTTCACCCGCAACAAAGCGGCTGTACTAGCCATCCGGAACCCGCGGCAGCAGTCAGGCCAACGAGAGATCCGCCAACTATACGCCGGCGTGCAAGATCTTCAGAGGAAAGGCAATAGAGTCACACTCTTCTGGCTCCCATCAGCTGTAGAGTCAGACCTGGCGCAAGCGGCCAAAGCTGCAGGAAAGGAAAGCACGAGACCGAACAAGACACCGCAGAAATGACCTGCTAGAGCCTACTCGACGGCACTTAGAATCGCTTTACAGAGCGTGCGACAGAAGCACGAAGCTTTGCCCGACAACGTAGGAGCATATTCGAAGAAGATCGATGTCGCTTTACCAGGAAAGCACACACGCAAGCTATATGATGAGCTCTCTTGGAAAGAAGCCAGCATTCTAGCGCAACTACGCACCGGGATGGCAAGACTGAACTGGTACCTGCACCAGATCGGAGCAACTGCCTCGGCGCATTGCGCCTGCGGGCATGCGGCAGAATCGGTAGAGCATTTTCTCTTCCGTTGCACACAGTGGACGGCGCAGCGAACTCAGATGCTTCAACAGACGGAGTCGCATAGAGGGAACCTTTCGTACTTTCTCGGAGGAAAGAACGCGTCCGATCCTGATGACTGGACGCCAAACGTAGATGTTGTCAAAGAAACGATCAAGTTTGCTATGGGTACAGAGAGACTGGATGCACAGGTCAGCCAGCAGCGAGATCACACACCACCTACATCAACACACTAACCGACGACAACCCCCACGCACCCTCGTTCCATCGACAGCAGGACTGGCTTCGGCCGCCGACGATAGGACGCCGAACACTTTGGGAGACAACCTCAAGATGGCCTGTTACTAAGACCACGAGCAACCGCAGCATTGGCATGTAAAACTGAAGATGACACATACGGAGACGGAGGAGGCTTGTATGGGCTTCTGGGAGGCAAGGATAGGAACGAAAGTGGAGAATATGTAGATAATCACACGAGCCCTGAATAGCTTAGCCGGGGCGTAATAAACTATGTATTTATGTAGATAATACGAGACAAATGATCATAGTTGGGCGGCCTCATTTTCAGTTCCGCAGCGGCGATCCATTGCTCGAGCGTATTGCAATATACTATAGTTCAAGAATTCGCCTGAACGGCTGAAATGGAAGCTCGCCATGGCGCTAGGCGAGGCTTACTAGCTCGCTAGAGTAGAAGGTGTACTGACGGTTCTATGTACGGAGTGCGCAGTGAGAGGAATTGAGTGCACTTAGGGCCCTAAACTTGAGGCAACCAGCTTCTTGGCGTGGATTGGATCCACCTTTGCCGTTGTCGTCCGGTCCTTCAAGCGTCCGGGGAGGCCATTTGTGCCTGCGTTCCTGGCTTACTACTCTCGAGGAAAGCTTCAAGTCGAAGCATCAAGTTTACTATATTAAGCCTACGCTTTCAGCCAACAATAAGTTGATATACTCGATTCATTTCCCACACGGCCGCATGTTTCGGGTAGCATACCCACATGGTTCATTACGCCCCGGCTAAGCTATTCAGGGCTCGCGTGGTCTGTTTCTCAAGGGCTGAGTGACGTAGATAGCGACTTCCTTGGCAAGCAACTCCTCGGTGATGTCGAAGCTGCAGCCTGCCTTGTCAGAGGATCGGGCGATGGCCAAAAAGGCGTTCCCCCTTCCTCACTCTACCTGGCTTCCTCGTTGAGAGCTGAGATGACAAACCCTGCTACGGGACCGTCTGCGGCTGTAGCAGAAGATGTAGGCATAAGCGTAGACCCTTTCACCGTGAAGGGGGCGTCCTCATTGGCGTCAGACTGGCTTACCGCGAAACTAGGCCGTGGGGGCTGCGTTTCGGTGTTGCGGCGGCGCTCCGTCCCTGAGGTGAAGCTCGGCTCCGGAGGTGAAGTGGGCTCTCCCTCAGGGTTGGCTCGGTCGGCCAACATTAGTCTGGCGCCCGACGATGGACGTGTGGACATCGCGAATGGGCTCCGGCGAGGAGAAGTAAAAAGTCTCCGGTTGTTAAGAAGTTGGCGAAGGGCTCACCCATGCACTAAGAAAAATCAGGCGAGGGGGTAGTTTCGCATTGGTCCGAAGATACGCATATCATGAAGATGATCAACAATGTGGCAAATGTAGAGTATGGTCAGCAGTGACATGATGATTTTGGGATAAGTGGGGTTGTTCGTGACTTCTACCATCTGGTACCGACGCCGCCCGTAGGTCATGGTGTGTGCACGCCCGTCAGCAAATTGGTGGGATCCTAAGTTCCAGGCGTGCTTGCTAGCTACGAGTAGAAAACTGCCAGTGACCGTTCTCGTGGCTTATCAAGCGGACTGTAGTGGAACTTTTGAAGGAGAACGGGTATGTTTGGCTGATATAAACGCAGTGAGCTTACCATGCCTTATTAAAGGCTTTTTTGGGTGAATGAGAGAGCAAAGGGCAATTGCGATTTGGATTTAATTGACTCCAGATTGCTCCGAATATCGCGTCGAACTAGGCCCAGTCATCGGTACCGTGCTCGACGTCCGCCAAAAGTGCCATCTCAGGCAACTAGAGTTTCTCGCAACTTACGATCTTTGCGTAAAGGGGAATACGATTTAGCCTAGCGTGTTTCGATTTTATCAGAATTAGGCGACGCAATTTGGGAACCTAAGTTCCTCGTGCGGCACCAGGTACGCAAGGACATCGAACTTTTTTTCCTTTTTTTTCTTTTTACTTTTCTCCCTCTCCCTGAACCCCTCCATACTAGCTATCTTTTCCTGCAAGACAAATCGGCGCAGATGGGCCAGACAGGCCGCGCTGGGAGCTCGGATGTTTCCGCCAGCCGCATTTAATGGCGCTTGAAGCCGACATTTTCGGTGGTTCACTTGTATCATCTGCTCCAGTTTGACCTGCAGTATGGACGGCTCCCTTGCACCACGAGCCCCCCGCGATGGCATCCAAGATCGAGGAATGCAGCTCTTTGCGATCCAGTTCGGCTTCCTGCTCGCGGCCGTTTTCTTCGTCCTGGCACGAGCTTATGTCAAAACCTGCATCGTCAAGAGTCTGACTGTAGACGACTGGCTGATCTTTGGGGCTATGGTCAGTACATCGCCAAACTCTCATGCTTCGTTACCTGCTACTAACATGGTCGCTCTAGCTTGGTTACACAACATACGGGGGGTTGGTACTCCACGGGGTGACGCACGGCGCCACCGGGAAGCACCTCACAGAAGTCACAGTCGATCAAGCGGCCATCTCTCTAAGAGCCTGGTACATCTGTGAAGTCTTGTATTCCCCTATCACGCTGGCGATCCGGACCTCGATTTGTCTCGTGCTCCTCCGTCTCACTTTCATCAGAGTTCACCGCTTGGTCGTCTACACCAATCTCGTCGTTGTCTGGGTCATCTCGACAGCCTTTTGCTGCATCGTGACCTTCCAATGCATGCCTCCGTCCTACTTCTGGAGACAGCTATATGGAGAATCGGGGTCGTGTCACAACTTTAATCTGGTCGCAGTCACCACCATTACCCACAGCATCATCTTGGCTATGTCAGACTGGTGTATGGGTCTACTACCGATTGTCCTATTGTGGAATATTAACCTGAATTGGCGCACCAAGGCAGTGGTCGCCACTCTTCTAGGCATGGGCATAGCGTAAGTTGAAGCACTCTCAATCCGTCACATACTGCCATAGAATTTTAACGAATATGCAGTGCTGGCGTTGCTCTTATAATCCGCATTCCATATGTTAGACGCTTCGACGTCTCAGCAGATTTTCTTTACGAATCAATGTACGCCCCCGAATGCGTGAGCTGAGGTAGTACCTGTGTTGCTTACTCTTTATCAATAGCGACATCGCCATCTGGAGTGTCATGGAGCCCGCACTCGGTATCATTGCAGCTTCCGTCGCCAGCCTACGGCCTCTCTTCAAGAGCTGGAGATCCGGGTTGAGCAGGAGGACCAAAGAATCCCGTCCGCCGGGAAACGGCTGGATTGGCGCGAGTAGCTACCGAGGAGCGAATGAATCATCTTACCCCAGCGTCAACAGTGGCAAATCCAAAAATCTACACTCCATAGTACGAACATTCAGCGACATTGACAGAGCCTTGGACAGCACTAGTCCCGATGTGGAACTGATCAAAACGACTAGGGATGGCAAGCGAGATGAGCACGGGACTGCGGGACATCGAGGCAGCCTTTGAATCTAGGCCAAAGAATTCACGTCCATGATGGCATGTTCGTGAGATGCCGGTCTTCATTGTCCGTACAGATACTAAAATCATGCCGCCATCGAAACGTTCAATCGGTCAAATCTCCCCCCCTGGCAGAAGAACCGGTTGGCAAAGAGGAAGAATATCCAGTGCGATGGAAAATCAGGGGTCGCGAGGGCACGTGGCGTAGGAGACCTGTGGTGCCTTGTTCTTGCATTCTGTCACGAGTTATGGCACGCAATAATGGGCATACGGAGTGTGATAAAGTGGCTCAATCTACCAAAGTGGAAACAGACAAAACAAAAAGGTCTATGTAAGAGATGTAAGTGGAATACACGTGATATCGCACGTGACGGGCCCTTCGTGGGCTGCTGTTTCCATCTGACAGAATCTAGGATACCCTCGTTTAGGTGAAACTCACCGCATGCAGTCATTACTCAGTTAACCACATAGTCGGGCCAGGATTTGTTAGATAAACGATGTTGATTTAATGCAATACCACTGAGGTCATCGATCAAAGAGTGATTGTTGTGCTTGATTGAGGGATTCCCTCTCATCCCGGTCCGAGCGGGGTTCTGTCTTGTATTTACCCATCATCACCGGTTCGTACATATTTTTCAATACATTTCTAGCATCCCTTTATCCAGACACAGTCGTCAATCCAACAAATCCTGGCCCGACTATGTGGTTAACTGAGTAATGACTGTATGCAGTGAGTTTCACCTAAGCGAGGATATCCTAGATTCTGTCAAGAGGGAAGTTTTCCTTGCCAAAACCGAGTAGGCTTTGATATATTTCAGGTATATTTCAGACTTTAGATCAGTCGATATCAAAACAGGATCATTCTCTTCCATTGTACAATGTGGACATCACAGCATACATAGATGCTTCAACAGGCAGAAACCCATAGAACGAATTCCTATACTAAACTACTGTGCAAGACATCGCCGCCAAGGAGGCGACGGGATGGAGGCCAGACGGACAGACAGGTCCAAGGGCAGACAAGCCGAGAGCCTCAAACTCAGGTCGACAGTCAAGACATGGTCGCACAAACAAACCCACCACGTGTGGCAAACCAACTGGGAAACCGAGACGCGAGGGAGAACATCGTTCCGTCTCACGCCGAAGCCGACAAAGAAGGTCCTCGGCCTCCACGAAGGCCTCAGTAAACGCCAGAGCGCACTCCTGGTCCAGATGCGCACGGAAAAGATCGGGCTCCAGGACTTCCTCTTCAACCGAAGAGTACCGGGCATCACCAACGCCAACTGCCCATGCCGGGA